AGGGAATGGGTGTAGCCATCTTATCCTAGACAGAACAGAGAGTTAAAACCCAAATAATTAGTTAACAAGCAGTTAACAAATAGTACTTAAAAAGGTTTTTGAGAAAAAAAGTTTATTGAATTTTAGATGTGTAAAGCTACTTTTAATTTATTGGATGTATAATATTTTTACAGGAGTCCACAATGATTAGAATTGAATCACACAGTAGCCTATTAAACAATGAATTACACAGTATTTCATCATTGCCAACCTGTGACGAGTATTGAGGATACGAAGAGGCAGGACGCAGACGCAGGAATCAACAATGTAAAGGTTTACATAACACTGAGCAAGAGAACAGCAAAGAGCGAGTACACGACATGACACTAACAATCACACACAACACAACACTGAACGGTCCAGGGCTATATAGGGGTGGTGATGAGATGAGGTGCAGGTGTGCTGGAGGTGATTAGGGTGCGTTGGGTTTCCATTCCGGTGTTGCCGAGGTGGTGCGCTCAGACCGGTGGCTCAGTAGACCAGTGAATCAGAGAGCCGGAGGGGAGCAACGGGAGGAGACGTGACAGTACCCCCCCACCCGGATGCGCGGCTCCTGCTGCAGGACGTCGCCGGCCAGGAGGACGACCCCGAGGGCGAGGAGCGGGCCGGTCAGGGTGGTGACGGTGGAAGTCCCGAATTAGGTTGTGGTCCAGAACGTCCCCAGCCGGAACCCAGCTCCTCTCCTCAGGACCATACCCCTCCCAGTCCACCAGGTAACGGAGCCGTCCCCCACGGAACCTGGAGTCCAGCAGGTCGCACACCCTGCCGTAAGGGTGGTGTGCGCCCAGATCAGCAGGCGGTCACGGACCCTGGTGGGTACATGCACGCACCCCGGAGGGGAGGTTGGCAGGTACTGGGTCCTCCTGAAACGCCAGGCGGATGTCTTCGTCCACATCCCAAACGACAGGACCCCCCAGATCCTTCCTTTCTTCAGTATGGTGCATCCTGGAGAGTGTGTCGGCTTTCACATTCTGGGATCCTGGGCGGTAGAACAGAATAAACTGAAAGCGAGTAAAAAATTGGGCCCACCTGGCTTGACGAGAGTTCATCGGTTTCGTTGCCCGTATGTGCTCCAAATTCCAGTGGTCAGTGAGAATCTGGAATGGATGGACTGCGCCCTCCAGCCAGTGTCTCCATTCCTCCAGAGTGAGAACCACCGCCAACAGCTCCCTGTCTCCATAGTTCCTCTCTGCGGGGGTAAGCTTTTTTGAGAAAAAGGCACAGGGATACATTTTCTCTGGCTTACCTTACCACTGAGAGAGGACCCCACCCACGCCCTCCTCAAATGCGTCCCCCTCCAGGATGAAAGGATGAGCTGTATCTGGGTATTTTAGGAGGGGCGCTGTGGTGAACCTCTCCTTCAGCCTCTTGAAGGCAGCATCAGCCTCAGGGTTCCAGGCCAGCTTCTGAGGCCCACCCTTAAGGAGAGAGGTGAGCGGGATGGCTATGGAGCTGAAGGACCTGATGAAACGCCGGTAGAAATTTGCGAAGCCCAGGAAGCTCTTTAGGCCCTTGATGGTGGTGGGCACTGGCCATGACCTGACGGCGTCCGTCTTCGCTCTTTCCATGAACACCCCCTGAGGACTGATCCTGTCTCCCAGGAAGGAGATGGCCTGTTGGTGGAATTCACATTTCTCCTCCTTCACCAACAGGCTGTGTTCCCGGAGGCGGAGTAAGACCGCTCGGACGTCCCTGACGTGCTCCTCAAACGTAGCCGAGTAGATCAGGATATCGTCGATGTACACCACCACCTGTCTACTCAGCATGTCTCGGAACACGTTATTGACGAATGACTGGAACACGGAAGGTGCGTTGGCGAGGCCGTAGGGCATGACACAGTATTCATAGTGGCCTGAGGTAGTGCTGAATGCCGTCTTCCACTCGTCTCCTTCCTGGATTCGGAACAGGTTGTAGGCACTCCTCAGGTCCAACTTGGTAAAGTACCAGACCCCTCGCAGCTGCTCGATGGCCGACGGAACCAGAGGGAGGGGGTACCGGTACTTGGTGGTGACTGCGTTCAGCCCCCGGTAGTCAATGCACGGCCTCAGTCCTCTGTCTTTTTTGGCCACGAAGAAGAAGCTGGCGGAGGCAGGAGAGGTAGAGCGTCTGATGAACTCCTGTTTCAGGGTCTCCGCCACATACTTCTCCATGGCCTCAGTCTCCGCTATGGAGTGGGAGTAAATGCGACTCTTGGGGGGTGTTGTCCCTCCAGCAGGGTAATGGTGCAGTCCCAGGGCATGTGAGGAGGGAGACACTTAGCCTTGGAGGCAGAGAAGACATCGGAGAGATCTGCGTACTCACGTGGAATGTTGGGCTGGAGGACTGACTCCGGACTCTCCACTGACGTGGAACAACAAACCACCGGCAGGCAGGTCCTCCGGCATGAGGGGGACCCAGGCTGTGATCCTCTTGGTGATCCAATTAATTGTGGTGTTGTGTAGTCTGAGCCAGGGCAATCCCAAGATGATCCGGTGAAGGGGTGACGTGACGATGTGGAAGGACAGCTTCTCGTGGTGCTCCGGTAGTGTGGGAATGGTGATGGTGATGGGGGGAGTGACTTGCGTAATGGTGCCTGATCCACGTGGTTTATTGTCCAGCGAGGTGACGTGTAGCAGAGAAGGCAGTGGCACGGTGGGCAACCCCCAATCAGAGACCAGCTCCCTATCAATAAGGTTCGCCGCTGATCCGGAATCTATCATTGCCGTGGAAAGCGAAGAGAAGGAAGAATCATTCACCGTTAGTGGAACTAAAAACAATGGTTTGGTGACAGGTGATGGCGGAACACTCCTGGAGCGGCGACGGGAGTCATACCGCCTTGATAGGGAGCCGCCAGGAGATCTGTGGTCCGTGGTGGTGTAGGGGGTGCTGCCCACCTCCATGGGTGAGGATTCGGAGGCAGGGCGGCTTCCATAGCTCAGATGGGGTGAGCGTCAAGGCTCCGGGTGGTGTTGGGAACGCCGTCGGTCTCTCAACATGTCGTCAAGACGAATGGACGTGGCGATGAGGGTATCAAGGTCCATCTCGTTGTCCCGACATGCGAGTTCCAATCGTGATGTCCTCCCGTAAGCCTCTCCTGAAGGCCATTCGCAAAGCACGCTCATTCCAGCCGGAAGATGCCGCCACCGTGCGAAAGCTCAGGGCGTACTCGAACGTGGCCTCCTCTCCCTGTTGTAGCTGGAGGAGACACTCACCCCCGTCCTTTCCCTCCATGGGATGATCGAACACCGCCCTGAACCGAGTGAGGAAGGTGGAGTAGGGAAGCGCCGCGGCCGCACCTCCTTCCCAGACTGCCGTGGCCTAATCCAGCGCCTTTCCCTTCAGTAGCGAAATCACCAGTGCTATCCTGGCTTGGTCCAATGGAGATGCCCCACGCTGACGCGCCAGATACAGTGAGACCTGTGGCAGGAAGCCTCTACATTTAGTTGTTTTCCCGTCATAGCGCTCTGGCAGGGCGAGAGGTCCCTCAGACGTTGGTGATAGCACGGGAGGAGGGGGACTGGGTGCACTCGCCGCTCCCTGAGGTGGAACTGGAGCGATGGTCAGTTTATGCAGTGTTTGGAGCACTTCCTGCATGGCGGCGTTCAGCTGGGCAATCTGCTGCTGGTGCTGGTCGAGGCGCTGGGAAACTCCAGGAGGATTACCTGCTGCATCCATCTTCGTGATTGGTGTGTGATTCTGTGACGAGTAGTGAGGATACGAAGAGGCAGGAAGCAGACTCAGGAATCAACAATGTAAAGGTTTACTTAACACTGAGCAAGAGAAAAACAAAGAGTGAGTACACGACATGACACTAACAATCACACACAACACAACACTGAACAGTCCAGGGCTATATAGGGGTGGTGATGAGATGATGAGGTGCAGGTGCGCTGGAGGTGATTAGGGTGCGTTGGGTTTCCATTCCGGTGGAGGTGGTGCGCTCAGACCGGTGGCACAGTAGACCTGCGAATCAGAGCACCGGAGGGGAGCAACGGGAGGAGACGTGACACAACCATGTCATAACACTTGACACAATTCCAATTCAAACAATGATATCCTAATCAATTTGATAGCATAAATCACACAGCTTATAGTTGATGAACTTCATAGATTACTCAAAAGGAGACCCGTTTCAATAATATTTAATGCACAGCATATGGATTTGATTTATAATTGCTCACCATTGTCTATTCTTGCTGCATAGTGTCCTGAACTCCTGATGTCTACTGTGATGCCAACCTCATTTGTGTACTCTACAGTTGGCCCAATCTAGTGAATTAATGTAAGAAAACAAAGCACTGTGGCCTCAACCCTACCTATGTGGTTGATTAACTGGTCTCAGTGTCTCAGTGATAATTTTTATAACAAACAACCATCCATGTGATTGCTGTAAAAGGTCGTATGGAAATACAGCTCAGTGTCACAGTAAATGAAGGTTGTAGAGTTATTCACAAATTCACAATAGGTGTGCAATAATAAAGGCTGTGTACTCTGCCGCCATGCAGCTGTAAACCTTTCTAAATTGATGTCGAGAAGGGCGTGTCGTAACTTCGTACTGCGTGCAATGGCACAAGAGGGCTCTGATTGGTTATGCGCGCCACGAGTCTGGCGTCTACGGTGCAACACTGCACAAAACTAAACAACAGCGTAAAGGGACAGCCAGGGAATGACAAGAAGAGCATCCACCGCCTGACCAAGACGGCACACGTAGACCATCAGAGACCAAAACATAAACAAAGCATTCGTCTGACATCGTTAATGTGTCACGCGCGCAACAGACAGTCATTAAATATCCGGTAAATCAGGAATATTGTGCTGTTGCTCTCTGTATTGGAGGTTGTCATCTGACAACAACAATACAGGCTATAGATAATATATGGGCTATTGAACTGAGTAATATTTATATATTTTCTATTTCTAGATATTAGTGTAGTGCAATATGCAATTGTAAAATAATCTGTTGTTTATATAAATACTGAAATATGGGTTCTAGATTAAGCAGACAGAGTAGTCTGGACAATGAGAATTTTACGAAAAGGCGTCACAATCATGTTGACAGCATAGGAGAAAGCGACAGAGATGGAAGTCGAGGCGGAGGCGACTTTCTGTTTACAATAATGCTGAAATCAGACAAACTGCCCGGGATGCTGCGGAGGTCCAACCACAGTCCCTACGTGAGGCGAGTGGCATGGATCCGAGAGATACAAAAGCTGCTCCGTGATCGCAGGATAGATCAGGCAACCGACGTGCTCAAACTATTGAGGAAGGTAAGGACAAACTACAGTATCTACATACATTTAATTGGAATTATTGCACACGAATTAAGCATGATTGCGCACAGTAGGCCTACATCGCCTGCATCGATCTGCTGTCATGACAAATACCTGTCATCGCTATGTGTTTGGTCAATCCCATTGTAACAACTTTGATTTAAATATTTCAAACAGATACATTGCAGATACATAGCGAGCATAATTTAGACTGTCGTGGATGAGTTAGAATATTACACATTTTGTAGGCGCTCTACATTATTTAACCTCCTGACCACACAGTGCCACAGGTGTTCCTCCTTTTGACCCGTTATGGAAGGAGGTGTTTGTAAACTATTAGGCCTGCCCACTACTCTCACTGTCAGCCCTGGCATCTGGTAATTTCCTTGGCACCACTATAGACCGTAGTATACAGGTGCTGCTGCTATTTCAAATAACTATCACAGTTACTATTCACAATATGATATACATAACATATTGCACAGATTTGTCTGAGTGCTTGCACTTTTTCGGAGTTTCTAATAATAGCAGAAACAGGATGCCATACCAGTTTAGAGTGAATCTGGCAAATATAGAGTGAATCTGGCATATATAGAGTGAATCTGGCATATATAGAGTGAATCTGCCATATATAGAGTGAATCTGGCATATATAGAGTGAATCTGCCATATATAGAGTGAATGTGGCATATATTCTCATAAATAGGCAATGCTAAGTGCACATGGGACTCTAAGTGTCGCTGTCTGTATAATTATTTTTTCACTACATTATATTATGCCATTCCACACATGTAATGATGTAATGATCATGTAATATGCTTAGTATTGACATTTGTAGGCACACCTGCATTTGGCCAATTTAATTTAATCCTATTTTGACTGTGTTTCGTCCTTAAATGGTTAGTGAATTTGCCACTGCATCTTGCGTTGGGTTGAAATGAAGTACAAATGGGGATTTTCAGTTATGAATCAAGTGCAATCGGCATGTGTAAGCCACACCCTCCACAGTCCCCCTAACTCACGTCACAGTCTCCTCTACTGACATGTCACTGGATGACTACTTTTCTGCTGCCAGACCATTCTCTGTAATGGACCTCAGCAGTTATAGTAGGAGAGTGAGCAGTTGATGGTTCCAGAAATACAGAAAATCACCCCATTTCATATAGATTAATTCAAGTTCTGCCTCAGGTATACATGGGATATTTTTATGTAGATTCACAGAGCTAAAATATAGCACGTAACATTGACATAGTATTTGTATATATTTAATTGGACCATCGTACTGGTAATGATTGCTACACAACATGCTTAGTAGTACACTAAGACACAGGAATGCATGATGGCTTGAAAATGCCCTAGCATAAACCATTGTGTCAAGTTTGGATTTTGATCTATTTATTTGCTATCTACGCATCATGTTTTTATGGAAGGATCAGGATTTCAAAACATGTTATCAGCTGAAAAGTCATTTCTATAACAATACCGAGGGTATGACAATAAGACTGTTGATGCGCAGTAACAGTATCTATGATAGTCCTGTTTGTTAGCTCAAGCGTAAGCCCCTCTCTCTTTCAGGCATTGTCCAATCTGTAGTTAATTATGCTGAAGACTTGACAGAGGAGAGCGTAGAAGCTCCTTAATCAACGCAAGGAGATAACCCAGGGTGCCAAAGCTGCATGACAGCCACATCACAGGGGACCCTGTTTAGATTTAATACGCCTCACATTATCAGCATTCAGGCTTTTGCAAATGGGAACGTGTCTCAAAAATGATATTCTGGTTTGTAACTCAATTAAAAGAGGTGATAAATCATCCACTGTATAGTTAATGGCCGTGCTATGGTTAGGTTAGAGTTACTGTAACAACTGAATGAAGATGCACATGTATAGGCAACTGAGTTCATAATGTTGCATCTGCAGTAAAGTGGTTAAGTCTATTCTTCACAACATCCCATTAAAAAATACTCTTCATTGCTTCAGACGTGGTGCGGTTACATCTGTATTGATCATGTTTTAATGCCTCTGAGATGATCAGATGTGGGCCACAAGGACAAACAACACAGAAGGGAATTATTTGTAGACCTGTCTTCTCGAAAAAAGAGTAGGAGCTTCTCGCGCGTTTTGTCTCATTTGTGTTTACTGTTGCTCTTGTTAAAAAGGGAAGTCAGTAATGTGTGGCTGCCGGCTTCCCACTCAAACTGTCCGTTACAATCAAGGCCTTTTGTTGTGTATGTGTGTGTGTGTGTGTGTGTGTGTATGTGTGTCCATCCTCCCTGTCTCTCATTTCTCTCTGTTTGTGCACGTCCAGCTCTACCCCTCACATACACAGGCTAATTAGGCCTTTGCAGAACTGAGGCTCATGAACAGCTGTCCTATGCAGCCTGTGGAAATTGTTATTTTCTGTTACATTTCTTCTCTCCTTAATTCATTATTCATTCACCTCTTAAAAGGTGTATGCAAATCTTTTAATCCAGTTGGCTCTGATTTGTACGTAGCTTGTTACGGGCAGCATTCTCACTCAAAAGCCTTTAACTCTACCTGTCATGTAGCAACTGTTTGGTGTCTGTCTGCCCTACAAAAATGTGTCTGCACCATTCATGGATAAGTTGTTTTTAGACTAATGTTTAGAATGTATTGCACAATGGCAGACCTAAACAAAATGCTTCATTAAACATCAAAAGAAGAAGCAAATGCTCATCCATCATTGAATGTTTATTGAACTCACATATACTGCAGGATTCATCAGAAGGACACTAGTTAGTGCTAAAGTTAGAGATACAGGGTGTGCAATACTGTGGTACGCTAAAGCTCTCTGCAACTCCAAATCACTGAGGTGTGGGTGGATATCCCAAAAGAAATGTTTCTGCCTGGAGCAAGGCACATTAAGCACATTACTGTATTCAGGTAGAGCTCTCTGCAGATGAAAGCCTTCGCCCCCTTCAATGAATATTTTTAACAAAAACAAAAACACTACAGTAGCATCACATTATTATCTCTGGAAAGTCTCAATATCCTCTTTATACCGTATATTTTTTCCTGTCATTAAAACAGATGTGTCGTTTTGATCATATATTTCATTTCACAATATAGCCTATGATCAGTCAGGTGTGTCTGTGATAATGCTGCTGTCGTTACACAATTAATTGTTTTCATGAAATACAAAAAGCGATAACTGTGGCCTTAAGGCACTATGAGTTATACTGTCTCTTCTTGTCTGATTTGGCAGGATCTGGGCATGGAAGGCACATCCCTCAATGACATTTTATATAAGAACGCTGCTTTTCTCAACCTGGTGGACCCCATCTCCCATGAGCTGTTGCTCAACCTGGCTCGCGAGATGCAGTGTCCCAAGAAGGTAAGCTCTCCACAACACTCACCTCATGGCGTATTGTCTGCTTAGCTTGGAATCAAGCTTCCAGAAATCAAGACGTCAAGAGAACAAGTCATGAATAGAATGAAATGCTGTTACAATACAATCATTATGGGGGAAGGTCTTCCACATTGTCTTGCAACTGCTTCTCCTCATGGTTTGGCTTTATAATGATTGGTCCTATAATAATGTCTGTGTATTATTACCATACAGACGAACTGGATGTTGTTTACATAAAGTAACGCCAGGGTAGTGGGTTCGATCCCCGGGACCACCCATACGTAAAAATGTATGCACACACATGGATAAAAGCGTCTGCTAAATGGCATATTATTATTATTATTATTATTAAAGAGATTGATAAAACAATGATAGAATAATCTCTCAGTTATGCAACATTTACACATGATGGCTAATTGAAACGTTGAAATGGGATGGGGATGCCGAAAGTAACCGACTTTACATAACAGACAATGGATAGAAATAACAAGAAAATGTGTTTACTAGATTTAGTATTGAATCTGGCCTCTTTCTTTCCATCCCTCCTGTTTTCCACACTGTTGCACACCGCCTTTGATTACTTTTACTTTGTCCTTTCATGATCTAAAGCTGTATCTCAATCAAGAATGTTCTGGTAGAATGTATCTCAAAAGTTTAGCGGTTATATAATGTGCTGTATTTTGCTTCTACTGTATGTGGTCTCAAAGAGTGACAACCATATTTGGAACTAAACTAAAAAGAGGGCCTCTGGTATTCTTTTGTTGATATACTTGACTTTTCATTCTGTGTTTTGGGTGATTTATCTTCCCACAGAAGGACGCTGACACCATCAAGTCGTCAGATAAGATCTGCAGACAGCTGATCTACCACCTGACCCCTCACTCCAAGTGGCTCAGACAGAGCATGTCCAGACGGAAGTCCCAGGCCTGGTAAGCCCCTCCATCTAGCCATACGTCTTTCACACATAGAGCCCCTGCTCCATGAACCCTGACTCCCCAAACTGCCCAAATTCTAAAACCGCCATTTGAAATGGTGCCAATGCCACAACCAGACGTCTGACAACCACCCTAGACATCATCTAAGTGGGTTTTGAGTGGGTTTGGCTGACATTCAATAGGGCTGGGACACAGCGGCCTCTGGACTGGCCAGGCAGGGCAGGACCACAGAGACAACCAGAAGTGTCAATCATTCCTCTGTTTCAGTCCTCTTTGACTCAGAACAGGCCAGTCTCCATACAGACTACAAACGTGGCCAGTTTGGTTGGGAAGAAATAGAGGGGGTGTATAAAAATAAGATCCATTGGCACCTTAGATGAAAACAGGTTATTTATATCAACCGGTTTTCTTATCATCATACTGCATTGATGTGCAAATAATTAATATGGAAATAGCTTGCAAATGAATTGACAGGTTCTTCTGTATCTAGGTCTTTAGTAATTCTATACACAAAAAAAGCAGGATATGATTACGCTTGTTCCAGTAATTGCTAATTTTACATTTTTACAGATGGATAGACAGTGGAAACAATCAATTTTCTAAAGTAATCGAAAATAAGCAGAAGAGAACACGATCTGATGAGTCGGGCTCATTGTGCTTCAGTCTGAGGTAACAGCACGAAAAGACAAACAGAGAATAATAAGTAAGTAACAAAAGGATAGTAACAGAAGGATCAAGTCAAAAAATACATTGATTCCCGTGTGGCGCAGTGGTCTAAGGCACTGCATCGCAGTGCTAGCTGTGCCACTAGAGATCCTGGTTCAAATCCAGGCTCTGTTGTAGACGGCCGCGACCGGGAGACCCATGGGGCGGCGCACAATTGGCCTAGCATCGTCCAGGGTAGGGGAGGGAATGGCCGGCAGGGATGTAGCTCAGTTGGTAGAGCCCCCGTAGGTTAGATTCCCACAGCGGGCCAGTATGAAAATGTAAAAAAAATAATGTATGCGCTCACTAACTGTAAGGTTGCTCTGGATAAGAGCGTCTGCTAAATGACTAAAATGTAATTTCAATATCTCCTTGTCTTGCTGCAGAACTACTTTTAAACTCAAGCAAGGCTTTAATGCGCATGTGGACATTGATGTCACCCTGATTTAGGAGAGACATTAGATTAGGTTGAGACTGACTCACTGACAGCATATTAGAGTATGTGAGGATGTGTTCCCATGTTGAACTTGTAGTTGAAGTGGTTATTTTCACTGAGTAATTCAGCTGGCTCCATAAAACCTGCAGAGAGCGACTGTCTGACACAGTCTGAGGCAAGCAGCAGGACAAACATTAGTCATCACCTCCCATTGCTTGTTATGTTCCGCTCTAGGGAAACTACACTCAAATGGCACTTTCTAAGGTGTTCCCCTATTCAGAGTTAGTTGAGTTGTAGCAAAGCACAAAATAAAGGATTTCTGTTTCTGCTAAAATATTATTGAACCTAGATATTATCAGTCGAGCTCATTTTACTTGAGTATAACTTTTTACATTTCTCACTACTAGGCCGGGCTGCAATTCTTCCTTGAAATTGCTGATTCAATTGTGATAGGAGTTACTGCACAAGCAGTCGCAAATATAATGCTATGCAATGCACACAGATAGGCAGCTATACCACCCTGCTAAACAAATGCATAATAACCACCAACTATAAAGTCTCATCACAATACATCTAGCTGCTATAGCTATATCCACAGATCTTTCATGGCATATTCTGTTTAAAACTGTTTTTTTCTCTCCTGGCTAATTTGCAAATTCCTCTTCATAGGTTTAGACATACTCTTTATTTGTATACTACCGTATATGAGATTAATGAGGATACAGGTTTAGTATATCTGAGGTACATCATAACATGTCAGCTCAATCCACAGTGGCCCTGTACACACAGGAGACAGTTGAGGATTATGACAGTTGGCAACCTTGCATGGCCACTTTCTCTCTGTCTGTCTGTCACATGTTGAAATGTCAGTCCTGCAGCCAGCCAGTAGGAGTGCAGCAGACACCTGGGGTGAAGAGGGGGCAATAAGGGGCAGTAACCTGACTGATCAGTCTGACTTGACTTGACATTCTGCTCCTGTCCCTCTGCTCTGTGTTCTACTGTGGCTGAGAAGGGAACATTTACATTTGACATTTTAGTCATTTAGCAGATGTTCTTATCCAGAGTGATTTACAGTTAGTGCATTCAAGATAGCTAGGTGGGACAACCACATATCTCAGTCATAATAAGTAAATTGTTCCTCAATAAAGTAGCTATCAGCAAAGTTAGTGCTAGTAGGGGGAAAAGACAAGTGCAAGTGTTAGTTCACTAAAGGCAAATTGTTTTGGGGGGAGGGGGATTATTTAAGATACTCTTTGAAGATGTAGGGTTTCAGATGTTTTCGGAAGATGGGCAGGGAGTCTGCTGTACTAGCTTCAGGGGGAAGCTGGTTCCACCATTGGGGTGCCAGGACAGAGAAGAGCTTTGACTGGGCTGAGCGGGAGCTGCCCTCCCGTAGGGGTGGGAGGGCCCAGAGATCAGAGGTGGCAGAACGGAGTACTTGGGTTGGGGTGTAGGGTTTGAGCAGAACCTAAAGGTAGGGAAGGCGGGGAGCCCAGCCAACAGCAAGTTGCAGTAGTCCAGACAGGAGATGAACAGATGAATAATAGAGAGTGGTGCTTTAAACATTAATGACTTTGCAAAAACAAAATTATGTTAGCTGTGCAGTAGCCCAGGGGAGATATGGGGAGAAAATTGACTCCTTGAAGAAATTATTCTCAACTATAGCATATAGCAGGATTACTTTTTCATGGCAATCTGTCTCTGTAGGGGCTCTTCATTTTGACAGTCAATATATTTAGCTGATTAACATGCCCAGGGAATTAAAAACAGTACTTTTGTGTTTATTCTGCATGATTTATGATTGAATCCTGACATCCACATACATTTTTTCCAATTACATTTATGAATGCTTTAAGTAGCCTAGTTTCAGTGATTTGAGATTCCTGGAAACGTCAGACCCAGATTGGGACAAACAATGAGCCATCTAATTTACTGTTAAATTCCTCTGGATTTAATGGCCACAATACTGATTCTTTGAAAAAGGCTGTAAATTAGTGTAGGGCTCAATGAAGATCATGTTACTAGAGAGAGAGAGACAGCGAAAGAGAGAGAGCGCTCGCGAGATGAAAGAGGCTCTTTATTCAGGGACTGAGACATTTATTTTCTTGTTTCCAGAGCACAGAAATAATGTGTCTGAGGAGCAGGGAATGCGCAGATGAAGTTTATGTTGCTCATCATCACACATTGCTTCTACAGTATATTGAATACATCATATATACACTATACTGTGCAGTATAAAGCCTGGTGTAAATAAATGTCAATACGTTATAGCATCTCTCTATATGAAAAATGCCCTCTAGTTGAACAAGTGGCAGGTGGTGCACTGGATGTCACTGTAAGTCACTGGGTGCTGGGGGACGTTGTAATTCAAACCCACACTAAATCAGAAACTCAGGGCTCTTCCAAGACATATTACTACCAACCAGGCTGGAGAATGGGGATTGGTTAAGCACTGAAGTTCTCAAACAGTATGAAATATTTGGCATATGAGCAAAGGTTGTTATAGGGTGGTATGCAGATGATATACAGTGCATTCGGAAAGTATTCAGAACCCTTCCCTTTTTCCAAATGTTGTTAAGTTACAGCCTTATTCTAAAATAGATTAAATAAATAAAATCTACCCACAATACCCCATAATGACAAAGTGAAAACAGATTTTTAGAAATTGTTGCAAATGTATTAAAAATAAAAACAGAAATACCTTAATTACATAAGTATTCAGACCCTTTGCTATGAGACTCGAAATTTAGCTCAGGTGCATCCTGTTTCCATTGATCATCCTTGAGATGTTCCTAAAACTTGATTGGAGCACCTGTGGTAAATTCAATTGATTGGACATGATTTGGAAAGGCACACACCTGTCTATATAAGGTCCCACAGTTGACAATGCATGTCAGAGCAAAAACCAAGCCATGAGGTTAGAAAGAATTGTCTGTAGAGCCTCGAGACAGGATTGTGTCGAGGCACAGATCTGGGGAAGGGTACCAAAACATTTCTGCAGCATTGACAGTCCCCAAGAACACAGTGGCCTCCATCATTCTTAAATGGATGTTTGGAACCACCAAGAATCTTCCTAGAGCTGGCCGCCTGGCCAAACTGAGCAATCGGGGGAGAAGGACCTTGGTCAGGGAGGTGACCAAGAACCCAATGGTCACTCTGACAGAGCTCCATGGTGGTGGCAGGATCTTGCTGTGGGGATGTTTTTCAGCGGCAGGAACTGGGAGACTAGTCAGGATCGAGGGAAAGATGAACAGAGCAAAGTACAGAGAGATCCTTGATGAAAACCTGCACCAGAGCGTTCAGGACCTCAGACTGGGGCAAAGGTTCACCTTCCAACAGGACAACGACCCTAAGCACACAGCCAAGACAACGCAGGAGTGGCTTCGGGACAAGAATGTCCTTGAGTGGCCCAGCCAGAGCCCGGACTTGAACCCGATTGAACATCTCTGGAGAGACCTGAAAATAGCTGTGCAGCAACGCTACCCATCCAACCTGACAGAGCTTGAGAGGATCTGCAGAGAAGAATGGGAGAAACTCCCCAAATACAGGTGTGCCAAGCTTGTAGCGTCATACCCAAGAAGACTCAAGGCTGTAATCGCTGCCAAAGGTGCTTCAACAAAGTACTGAGTAAAGGGTCTGAATACTTATGTAAATGTCATATTTCCTGTTTTTGCTTTGTCATTATGGGGTATTGTGTGTAGATTGATGAGGGGGAAAAAACAATTGAATCAATTTTAGAATAAGGCTGTAACGTAACAAAATGTGGAAAAAGTAAAGGGGTCTGAATACTTTCCGAATGTACTGTACAAATGTAATGTGTTTGTATGAAGCAGAACAGTGCATTAGATCAATGGTCTCTCTTCCTTATTGCTCAGAATGAGCCATTGCCATGATATTCCAACTCCTGAAAGTCAGCATTAAAGCAACATCAAGGTGCAATGCCTCTAATAAAAATCTAACTGTGGACACCAAGATCACACAAATGTAATCTTTCAAAGGGTATGAGGATTTTTCTCTGATAGGCTCATGCTGTGAGGCCATGCACTGAAACGGATATCCAGCCATAAGAAAATGTTTTGCTTATCAGTCACATGTATTCACATGTATTCAATTTCCATAAAATGGAACCCACACCTGCCATTTACAGAGAAGAAGTTATATCCACTGAAGCAGCACAATTTACGCAATCAAATGCATTTTCTATGCTGGTAAAATTAGTTAATTCCATGTTTTCTCTTTGATGGCCTACAAAAGTGTTAAATATTTAAGCTTTTTATCAATCAAATATTTCTGCCAGGCTCTCCTGCTGCCACAATCCCAAATCTATAATGTCTGTCTAGACATTTTTTGTTTCATCTCGTTTCAATCATTAAAACAGGTTGGTTTGGCTTTCAAATGAAGCCATTGAGTGTTTTTGTGTCATATAATCAGATGGTGAATGTTTTTCGCTCTTGGTGATAAGGACATCAATGCTTTTCATTCTCTGAATGAGGAGGTTGGGTGTTTCGGATGTTTTGGCCCTTCACTGTGTACACTGCTAAATCCTCATGCTGGAGAATCTATGTCAGCCTTCCGCTCCAAGCGTGTCCAACCCCCCTCCTTTATACAACACAGAAAACACAATATGACACGAGGGCCATGTTCCCAGGTCATACACATAGATGATACAATTAAGACCAAAATGTCAGTACTCAGCCCCTCTATTTCCCTCATTCATGAAAAAAAGGTGCTGTCTAGAACCTAAAAGGGTTTTTCGGCTGGCCCCATAGGAGAACCCTTTGAAGAACCCTTTTAGGTTCCAGGTAGAAACATTTCCACAGAGGGTTCTTCATGGAACCAAAAAGGGTTATACCTGGAACCAAAAATGGTTATCCTATGGGGACAGCCGAATAACCCTTTTGGAACCCTTTTTTCTAAGAGTGTAAGCTCTGAGATATCTTAACTGAGCTATTGTACTTTCATATCCAAGAATGTCTCAAATAATGGTCAATATCCAATACTTTTTTTTTCTTTACAGTCTCAAGACAACCCTGCAGAGAAAGGTATCCACTGACACAGTCGACTTGTCTGGTATCCCTCTCTCCAGTCGAGACGTCCGCCACGTGGCCTTCTACCTTCAGAATAGTGGGGAAGCAGTGGTGGCTGTGGATATCAGCTTCACTGAGCTCCAGGATGAGAACCTCCGTGTCCTGCTACCCGTCCTGGGGTCTCTGCCCAAACTCAACACCCTGGCCCTCAATGGCAACCGGCTGACCCTGGCCATAGTCAAAGACCTGACTGAGATCCTGAAGGACCCCAAGAAGTTCTCCAGCCTGGCTTGGATCGACCTGGGCAACAACTTGGACATTTTCACCATGCCCCAGCCCCTGTTAGTGGCCCTGCGTCGCCGCTGCAGCCTGAAGAACAGCTTGCCCACCATCTACGAGTACACAGAGGGCCAACCCTACTGCTACCACATGGAAACCTCCATCGAGGAGCCCAGCCACTACGAGGAGGAGGAGGAGGCAGGGGAAGAGGGGGAGGAAGATGAAGACGAGCTGGAGCAGTGGGGTATAGGGGGGGAAAAGGTTTCAAAGGACTTCACCCTACGCTACTGTGAGAGGTGATGAGGTGAAGTCCCCCTAGCTCGGTCCAGCTGTGTTTGAAAGGCCTTCCCACAGCTTCAAGTTCCTACCTTTCCCCTGTTGCCCCTCACACCATGAGCCCAGTCACCCATTGTGGCACGAGGGATGTTCAGCGCTACACATTCCAGACACCATCGTTCCAACACAGCCACCAAATAATCTCTCACAATCTATGAGTTAACCCACACAAGACCACTGCAGTAACTGACGATTATGTTGGTGACTTACTGTGTTGGTGGATGGTGCTCCTGGGAACGAGGTGCGGTTTCATTGGAGGTGGGATAGAAGAATTTAGGAAAAGGTGCTCTCTCTCTCGCCCTCTTAAAGTAGCAGCTGTGGAGCAAATCCCAAGGACTTTAGATCAGACGGCTTGACGGAGGAGTGGCATAACGCTGGTGGTCTAATGAGCTGCTATTGGTTTGGAAGCAGTAGGTCCCAACCGGGTTCTCTACCAGGACTGTCACTGAGACTATCCCTGGCAGGCAGGGCCTAGCTCCACATTGTGTGTTCTCTGTTAATCTCTCAACAAAGGCTATGAAACAAGTTCAACAGACTATACAGCCGACGACCCGTCACGTGATGCAGGCAAAACTGCTAAGTCAAGACTTTTTGCTTTTTCCCCCCCCGTTCGAAATGTCCACTTGTGAATACCTACGTAGATGTAAATGATGACACAAAACATGTCTCTGTTGTATTTCCACAGGCTATTTTAGTGCACTGCTGGTGAATAAAGCCATCTTAGAAGACAACAGGTAGGAATCAACAATAGACCGTTGTTTTCACTGATTGTTTGTGTTTACACTGATTGTTTGCTGTTGCCAAAACTCTGAGATTCACCGCTCTATTTTGCTATTTTAGTCATTATCATTTTAGAATACATGTGGGATGAATGACAGTACAGCCAAGCCCCAAGGGTGGACCCATTCATCTCTTTGTAGTAATGAATGTACCAAATGGAATCACATACTGGCACCCTTTGTACCAATATGTCGTTATTAACATTTATATGAGCTTATGTGTTTGTTTATTGTGGGAGGAACATGACTGTTACATATCAGTTGTAGGCTATTACCAGGGCTGATAATCAGCGTGGTGGGCTGAGTATAGTGCTGGATAGAGGTGGTCTATGAAATAACACAAAGTAGTTGAGTTGGGTTTACCAACTGCAGCTGCGCTCCATGCTGTGTTGCACTTTAAGAAATGTGAGAAAAGGATTTGACTTCAGATCCATTTCATTCTCTCATTGATGCATAAAAACTGTTTTTGCCAAGTCATCCTAATATCAATATAGATTTTTCACAATATTTCAGAAGCTTAACCACACTGACACCATAATATACATAAAGGTCATTCAGCAAACTGATATTAATGGAGTCAATGCATTAACAATAATTGAATAACTGGATGTAATATACTTGTATCGTCTGATTGAATATGTGTGAGGGTGTTTAATGTGTGTTTGCTGTTGTATAATGTCTGATTGCTGTTGTATCGGTTTGTATTATTGCTTTGGCGTTGTGTCCTTTGTCAAACCATGAAATGACTGTAGTTATTTCATTGTGAAAATGAGCACACTAACCTCCTCTGCTGGAACAATTAGGGGACACACAAGGGCAAGGTATTAATAAACTAATGACATACCGCAAGCAACAAATGTTCCCCATTTCACTGACATTATATGTACACTGAAATGTAGCACAGGAAATTGCTTTTAATGTAAAATATGTGTATGTTTATAAAATATCAAAGGTGTTGTAATGGTTTTTATGGGACTATGATAGGAAAATATGTTGCTCACACTGTATATGTTAGCATTGTGTGTCATTGTTATACTATTTGTATGTGTATGTGGTGCCATACTTAGAATGACATTTTACTGCCAATAAAAACAAGTGACTCTAAGCAACTGTTTGCAGGCTGTAGTTTAACAGAAAGAGAAGAGTAAGATCGGCATAAGGGTCACAAGAGCCTTAGTTAAGTTTAATTTCCATGTTAAAGTCATGATTGAGTGTTTGAGTGTGGGTGCAGGTGATCTAATAATGACACCGCTAGCAACAAATGTGATGAGCTAATTGTTTGTCTCTTTGGGTTGTTTTGACCCGTCTACCACAGCTCATTGGCACAAACAACAGGAGGAAGTGTAGAAATCAAATCAAATCAAATCGTATTGGCCACATGCGCCGAATACAACAGGTGCAGACATTACAGTGAAATGCTTACTTACAGCCCTTAACCAACAGTGCATTTATTTTTAACAAAAATAAAACAACAAAAAAAGTGTTGAGAAAAAAAGAGCAGAAGTCAAATAAAATAAACAGTAGGGAGGCTATATATACAGGGGGGTACCGGTGCAGAGTCAATGTGCGGGGGCACCGGCTAGTTGAGGTAATTGAAGTAATATGTACAGTGGGGGGAACAAGTATTTGATACACTGCCGATTTTGCAGGTTTTCCTACTTACAAAGCATGTAGAGGTCTATCTAAAACAAAAATCCAGAAAATCACATTGTATGATTTTTAAGTAATTAATTTTATTGCATGACATAAGTATTTGATACATCAGAAAAGCAGAACTTAATGTTTGGTACAGAAACCTTTGTTTGCAATTACAGAGATCATACGTTTCCTGTAGGTCTTGACCAGGTTTGCACACATTGCAGCAGGGATTTTGGCCCACTCCTCCATACAGACCTTCTCCAGATCCTTCAGGTTTCGGAGCTGTCGCTGGGCAATACGGACGTTCAGCTCCCTCCAAAGATTTTCTATTGGGTTCAGGTCTGGAGACTGGCTAGGCCACTACAGGACCTTGAGATGCTTCTTACGGAGCCACTCCTTTGTTGCCCTGGCTGTGTGTTTCGGGTCGTTGTCATGCTGGAAGACCCAGCCACGACCCATCTTCAATGCTCTTACTGAGGGAAGGAGGTTGTTGGCCAAGATCTCGCGATACATGGCCCCATCCATCCTCCCCTCAATACGGTGCAGTCGTCCTGTTCCCTTTGCAGAAAAGCATCCCCAAAGAATGATGTTTCCACCTCCATGCTTCATGGTTGGGATGGTGTTCTTGGGGTTGTACTCATCCTTCTTCTTCCTCCAAACACGGCGAGTGGAGTTTAGACCAAAAAGCTCTATTTTTGTCTCATCAGACCACATGACCTTCTCCCATTCCTCCTCTGGATCATCCAGATGGTCATTGGCAAACTTCAGACGGGCCTGGACATGCGCTGGCTTGAGCAGGGGGACCTTGCGTGCGCTGCAGGATTTTAATCCATGACGGCGTAGTATGTTACTAATGGTTTTCGTTGAGACTGTGGTCCCAGCTCTCTTCAGGTCATTGACCAGGTCCTGCCCTGTAGTTCTGGGCTGATCCCTCACCTTCCTCATGATCATTGATGCCCCACAAGGTGAGAACTTGCATGGAACCCCAGACTGAGGGTGATTGACCGTCATCTTGAACTTCTTCCATTTTCTAATAATTGCGCCAACAGTTGTTGCCTTCTCACCAAGCTGCTTGCCTATTGTCCTGTAGCCCATCCCAGCCTTGTGCAGGTCTACAATTTTATCCCTGATGTCCTTACACAGCTCTCTGGTCTTGGCCATTGTGGAGAGGTTGGAGTCTGTTTGATTGAGTGTGTGGACAGGTGTCTTTTATACAGGTAACGAGTTCAAACAGGTGCAGTTAATACAGGTAATGAGTGGAGAACAGGAGGGCTTCTTAAAGAAAAACTAACAGGTCTGTGAGAGCCGGAATTCTTACTGGTTGGTAGGTGATCAAATACTTATGTCATGCAATAAAATGCAAATAAAAAAATCATACAATGTGATTTTCTTGATTTTTGTTTTAGATTCCGTCTCTCACAGTTGAAATGTACCTATGATAGAAATTACAGACCTCTACATGCTTTGTAAGTAGGAAAACCTGCAAAATCGGCAGTGTATCAAATACTTGTTCTCCCCACTGTACATGTGGGTAGAGTTAAAGTGACTATGCATGAAATAATTAACAGAGTAGCAGCAGCGTAAAAGGATGGGGTGGGGGGGCAGTGCAAATAGTCCGGGTAGCCATGATTAGCTGTTCAGGAGTCTTATGGCTTGGGGGTAGAAGCTGTTGAGAAGTCTTTTGGACCTAGACTTGGCACTCCGGTACCGCTTGCCGTGCGGTAGCAGAGAGAACAGTCTATGACTAGGGTGGCTGGAGTCTTTGACAATTTTGAGGGCTTTCTTCTGACACCGCCTGGTATAGAGGTCCTGGATGGCAGGAAGCTTGGCCCCAGTGATGTACTGGGCCGTACGCACTACCCTCTGTAGTGCCTTGCGGTCGGAGGCCAAGCAGTTGCCATACCAGGCGGTGATGCAACCAGTCAGGATGCTCTCGATGGTGCAGCTGTAGAATTTTTTGAGGATCTGAGGACCCCTGCCAAATCTTTTCAGTCTCCTGAGGGGGAATATACTTTGTCGTGCCCTCTTCACAACTGCCTTGGTGTGTTTGGACCATGATAGTTCGTTGGTGATGTGGACACCAAGGACCTTGAAGCTCTCAACCTGTTCCACTACAGCCCCGTCGATGAGAATGGGGGCGTGCTTAGTCCTCTTTTTTTTCCTGTAGTCCACAATCATCTCCTTTGTCTTGGTCACGTTGAGGGAGAGGTTGTTATCCTGGCACCACACGGCCAGGTCTCTGACCTCCCTATAGGCTGTCTCATCGTTGTCGGGGATCAGGCCTACCACTGTTGTGTCGTCGGCAAACTTAATGATGGTGTTGGAGTCGTGCCTGGCCATGCAGTCATGGGTGAACAGGGAGTACAGGAGGGGACTGAGTCTAATGCTCTACCGACTGAGCTAGCCGGGCTGTATAGTGTCAGTAAACATCAAAGCATCTCTACAGACCTGAGAGGTGATTGATGTGGGTGGCTAGGCTAGAGTTGTTGGGGTTGGGTGGGTACTGTGTGTCTGTGTGGGGTTTGTCTGCGTTGTTGCGTCCCATTAGTAAAAACCTTAAGCTCCCATCATGCACCAGGGCAAGGCAGGGAAAGGGTGACAGTCACAAGGTCCTGTCCCTGGTCCTCTCCTCCCCGGCCTTTTGTTCCTGCTGCCACAGATGGTAATGTGGTATTTCCACCAGGTGGCTCCCATAAGGTCACAGCACAGTGTGACTGTCACACCCCCCAGGTCGCAAATGCCATGTTTTATCTAGGTCAGACATACACACTGTAACAGTCCAGGATTGCCCACACCACATCTTGTAGACTGAGTCTTGCTTACATAGCAAGTCAAACATCATACATGTGAAAGTCTTAGTTTGCTTGTTGTGAATAAGACATGAGCAGATTTGCTGTATCTCCTATTTTCACATAGCTCATGACTAAAGGCTTCCTGGGTATTCTTTTAAAATAAAATCACAAAATGTCTTTAAAGGTCGTAAAATACAGTGTGGTCAGCCTCATCCTTGCTGTATCCCCTTTGTCCAGTGAATAGTTAGCACTAATCTGAAATTCGAAAAATGTAGTTACTCATCCTTCTTGTCTGATAGAGCAATAATGTTTGCATAATGAGTTAGGTGGAAGCACACTTGAATAGATTATAGAATCAAGACTGCTTCTGCTAAATCAAGGGGAGGATAATTTTGTGTGCTGTTTTATTTTCTGTATAATAGCTACACTTCATGACCAAAAGTATGTGGACACCTGCTCATCGAACATCTCATTCCAAAATCATGGGCATTAATATGGAGTTGGTCCCCCCTTTGCTGCTATAACAGCCTCCACTCTTCTGGGAAGGCTTTCCACCAGATGTTGGAACATTGTTGTTGGGATTTGCTTCCATTCAGCCACAAGAGCATTAGTGAGGTCGGGCACTGATGTTGGGCGATTAGGCCTGGCTCGCAGTGGGCGTTCCAATTCATCCCAAAGGTGTTCGATGGGGATGAGGTCAGGGCTCTGTGCAGGCCAGTCAAGTTCTTCCACACCGATCTCGACAAATAACTTCTGTATGGACCACGCTTTAAGCACGGGGGCATTGTCATGCTGAAAGAAGAAAGGACCTTCCCCAAACTGTTGCCACAAAATGCTGTAGTATTAAGATTTCCCTTCACTGGAACAAAGGGGCCTAGACTGAACCATGAAATACAGCCCCAGACCATTATTCCTCCTCCACCAAACTTTACAGTTGGCACTATGCAGTCGGGCAGGTAGCGTTCTCCTGGCATCTGCCAAAACCAGATTCATCCATCGGACTGCCAGATGGTGAGGCGTGATTCATCACTCCAGAGAACACGTTTCCACTGCTCTAGAGTCCAATGGTGGCGAGCTTTACACCGCTCTAGCCAACGCTTGGCATTGCACATGGTGATCTTAGGCTTGTGTGTGGCTGCTCTGCCATGGAAACCCATTTTATAAAGCTCCCGACTAACAGTTCTTGTGCTGACGTTGCTTCCAGAGGCAGTTTGGAACTGGGTAGTGAGTGTTGCAACCGAGGACAGATGATTTTTACGCGCTAAGCGCATCAGCACTCGGCGGTCCCGTTCTGTGAGCTTGTGTGGCCAACCACTACGTGGCTGAGCTGTTGTTGCTCTTAGACGTTTCCACTTCACTATAACAGCACTTACAGACCGGGGCAGCTCTAGCAGGGCAGACATTTTACAAACTGACTTGTTGAAAAGGTGGCATCCTGTGACGATGCCATGTTGAAAGTCACTGAGCTCTTCAGTACGGGCCATTCTACTGCCAATGTTTGTCTATGGAGATTGCATGGCTGTGTGCAAGAATTTGATATACCTGTCAGCAACGGGTGTGGCTGAAATAGCCGAATCCACTAATTTGAAGGCGTGTCCACATACTAGTGTATATTCTCAATGATGGTTTTTTCAATTGCCATCGAAGTCCCTTCAATCTTACAGCAATACCATTTATCTATTGTTTACTTCAATTACTACTCTAATGACTTCCAGACCAGCAATGATAATCATACCAAGAGATTTATTAGAATGAATTCTGATTAATTTACAGTATTGAAGTAAACATATTTTCTATCAACAGCACTTGCTCTAATCAGACACTCAAAACAGAAACAAAAGAGGAGTCTCATCTTCAGAAACTTTGATCCAGGAAAGAGCTTTGTATCTGCAATGAGTCATTTACTGATCCCATTATCTTGCTCCATCTCCTGTATGCTCCAGCACACTGGGGGGAAAAAAAGGAAAACAGCAAGAAGCCAAACAGATAGACAGCTCCTAATACAATCTGGTAGAGAGCAGCGGAAATACCCAGCAGATTTCAATAGGGATGAGCTCTGCTTATGAAACATGGCCAGCCGACTCACTAGCCCTGTTTATACCTGGTTCTAACATGCGTCCTTTGTCCTGATCATTTTGATTGTGACCACATTTTTAGACTGGTGTAGACGATTAAAAGAGGCATTGTGAACTGATTTTGATCAGATCTTATAACTGTAAACGGGCAAGATCAGGACGAAGGATGCATGTTAGCGGCAGGTATAAACGGGGCTACTGATTCCCCACAGTGTTTCATTTTTAACAATTAAGGCCCCATAGCAACAAAACAGCTCTCTGTTTCTCACATCTGGAGTAGACCAGCTCTTCCCTCTGCACCTCCAGGCAGACAGAGGACCAGGTCGAAGCTATCAGTAACTGTTCTGTTCGGGGCTTCAACAGTAAGATGCTCTCATAATCTGTGATACCTGATATTAACATTCTGTATAACCTCAACATATGTCTATCATTTACAACATGATAGACCACAGCTAATACAATACCCCACCCATGACAAATCCGATATTACATACAGTATGCCTAGCCAACAGTGGTCTGTATTTAAGAGTCTGTCACACAGTGTATGAATAAAAGATAAAGGCCATGTGGCTATAGGCCTGTTAATAAGCTTGTGGCCACCAAATATATGAAACTTTCATTAGCTCAGAGAACATATAGGTAAAATAAACAGACCTATGCTATAATACAGATATTAAAAGCACAACTAAAGTATCAAACTGAAGAAAGGATCAATGGAAATAATTTCAGCAACAATTCTAAAATAGATAGAATATTAAAGAATATATTGCATAGACAACATGTTTGAACATTTCAGGTATTAAAAGGCTCCTTCCATATACACTGAACAAAAATATAAACGCAACATGTAAAGTGTTGGTCCCATGTTTCATGAGCTGAAATAAAATATCCTAGAAATGTGCCATATGCACAAAAAGCTTACTTCTCTAAAATGTTGAGCACAAATTTGTTTACATCCCTGTTAGTGAGCATTTCTCCATTGCCAAGACAATCCATCTGCCTGACAGGTTTGGCATATCAAGAAGCTGATTAAACAGCGTGCTCCTTACAAAGTTGCACCTTGTGCTGGGGACAATAAAAGGCCACTCTAAAATGTGCAGTTTTGTCACACAATACAATGCCACTGATGTCTCATGTTTTTAGGGAGTGTGTAATTGGCATGCTGACTGCAGGAATGTCCACCAGAGCTGTTGCCAGAGAATGTAATGTTTATTTCTCTAACATAAGCGTCTTTTTAGAGAATTTGGCAATACGTCCAACCGGCCTAACAACCGTAGACCACGTGTAACTACGCCAGCCCAGGACCTCTACACCTGGCTTCTTCACCTGCGGGATCATCTGAGACCAGCCATCCGGACAGCTGATGAAACTGAGTTTGCACAACCGAAGAATTTCTACACAAATTGTCAGAAACCGTCTCAGGGAAGCTCATCTGAGTCCTCGTCGTCCTCACAGGGTCTTGGCCTGACTGCAGTTCGGCGTCGTAATCGACCTCAGTGGGCAAATGCTCACCTTCGATGGCCAATGGCACACTGGAGAAGTGTGCTCTTCACGGATTAATCCTGGTTTCAACTGTACCGGGCAGATGGCAAAGGATCTGTATGGCGTTGTGTGAGCGAGCGGTTTGCTGATGTCAACGTTGTGAACAGAGTGCCCCATGGTGGCGGTGGAGTTATGGTATGGGCAGGCATAAGCTATGGACAATGAACACAACTGCATTTTATCGATGGCAATTTGAATGCAGAGATACCGTGACAAGATCCTGAGGCCCATTGTTGTGCCACTCATCCGCCGCCATCACCTCATGTTTCAGCAAGATAATGCACGGCTCCATGTCGCAAGGATCTGTGCACAATTCCTGGAAGTTGAAAATGTCCCAGTTCTTCCATGGTCTGCATACTCACCTGACATGTCACCCACTGAGCATGTTTGGGATGCTCTGGACAGATGTGTACGACAGCGTGTTCCAGTTCCTGCCAATATCCAGCAACTTCGCACAGCCATTGAAGAGGAGTGGGACAACATTCCATAGGCCACAATCAACAGCCTGATCAACTCTATGCGAAGGAAATGTGTTGTGCTGCATGAGGCAAATGGTGGTCACACCAGATACTGACTGGTTTTCTGCCCCATCCTTTTTTTAAAGGTATCTGTGACCAACAGATGCATCTGTATTCCGAGTCATGTGAAATTCATAGATTAGGGCCTAATGAATTTATTTCAATTGACTGATTTCCTTATAAGAACTGTAACTCAGTAAAATCTTTGAAATTGTTTGCTTGTTGCATGTTTCATTTATATTTTTGTTCAGTGTACATGATTAAGTACATACATTCCAGTTGTAGAAAATGGGATTGGGAAGAGAAGACTGGACAGATGTAGCATTGGGCACTTATTAAATCATCCTCTACATTACAATGAAATACAGTATGCTCCTACTTGTGACTCAATATCACAGGTTGCTGTTCTACACGTTGCCTGTTGATGTTGTAGTAAATAGGATGAGAAACATATACTGTCTGCACAATCAAATTTTGTCTGAGGCATAATCAGAGCCATGTTTTTGCTATAGCTACAGTAGCTCTATATTGACAGTTGGAAGACGGTCTATATCCAGTGTCAGTGACCAACAGTCTGGCAGATTAATACCCAGCTGCCTTGCCCATCTTTCTGGAATCTGAAACGGCTTGGATGCAACCGTTGTCCTTCTCTACAGCATTGACCACGTTGTAGAAGTACTTTTGAACTTCCACTGTGTGTCCTAAAGCCTTCAGACCCTCCACCACAGCCTTAGGGAGAGAGGAAGAAAGTTATAGGAACAGGAGGACAGACATACTGTTAGCGTAGGAGATGCTTAAATTACCACTTCCGAACAGGCCTTAATAATGACTGAATTGAAGTAGACCTTGATTTATTATTATTATGTACATTTAGGCTGGGTTTCGGGCTCGCGCAGTGGAGGAGATCTTCGTGGGCTATACTCAGCCTTGTCTCTGGTGATGTGGGGGCTGTGCTTTGGCAAAGTAGGTGGGGTTATATCCTGCCTGGTTGGCCCTGTCCGGGGGTATCGTCGGACGGGGCCACAGTGTTTCCCGACCCCCCCGTCTCAGCCTCCAGTATCTATGCTGCAATAGTCTATGTGCCAGGAGGCTAGGGTCAGTCTGTTATATCTGGTGTTATTCTCCTGTCTTATCCGGTGTCCTGAGTGAATTTAAGTATGCTCCCTCTAATTCTCTCTCTCTCCTATGAACGTTTGAACATCTTGGAGAAAAATCTGTCCTTAATGGCCATGTACTGTTATAATCTCCACCCGGCACAGCCAGAAGGGGACTGGTTCCTCTCTCGGTTTCTTCCTAACCACCGTGCTTTTACATCTGCATTGCTTGCTGTTTGGGGTTTTAGGCTGACTTTCTGTATAGCACTTTGTGACATCTGCTGATGTAAAATGGGCCTTTATAGATAAATGTGATTGATTGATATACGGTAACCTGTAAATACTACCCCCTAAGATGTGTAAATCTGTGATTGACCAACAATATTCTTCAGAAACATAACTGAATACTTCTTTAATCGTTGAGTGCCCATGATGTGTGGTGTTACCTTGTCAAAGTCAGGTTCAAACTTCAGTGCATTCTGGGAATCCACAAACACAACAGGGGCTGCGATCGCCTCCTCCAGACTCTTCCCAAACCACAAGTGGTTCATGATGGTCTGGGAGAGAGACAGACATATGAGACCATGAGGAGGAAGACTGCTAATACTGTACCTGTATGTGGACTGAAAGTGAATGTTACCATGGCGGTGTGTTTAAGGTACAGAGTGTTTTAGAAAACATACTGTGAAATATTGGTCACACAGTAGATTTATGAACATTAGGTGAGTATTGGTGTTATACAGGTGTTTGTTATTGTGAGGCTCAACCAATTTGCATACGCAAAGTGTATGTTGATCAAATATTGTTGATACCATGGTCACTTACCAAGGCCATCCCCGTGGTGATCATGCTGCCACCTGACCCGCCAATCACCAGAGTCTTATACTTGGACTGCAGGACAACAGGGGACATGGAGGAGGGAGGCTGCTCACCTGCAAGCCAAACCATAAAACAAATCATCAAGGAGAGGCTACAAAAATCTAAGCTATCAGTTTATTTTACAGCCACCCTTACAAACACTCAGGAAATATTTTTGGGGGTCACATTACCTGCAACAATGTGATCTGCCTTCCCACAGAAATCTGCCAACTCATTGTTGAGGATGATACCGGTTTTAGGGGAGAACACTCTGGATCCAAACCTGTGTGAAGGGAAAGATATTTGACAAGTCATTGTGTGTATAGTGAATGTTACATGGTTATACATAACTAATTACAATTATACATCGCTGACATAGTCCTAATGATGATTATTGTAATGATTCTACACAGTGAATAACATTTGACTTACATGTGATTGATAGTGCTGGTAACAGAGACAGCAGTTCCATCCTCAGCCATCACAGACACATGTGTGGTTCCCATGGTGTCCAGGTATGGAGTGATGTTATAGTACTGAGCATCATGGGTCTCATCACTGCTGATCATGGCCCTGAAGTGGTCAGCAAACTGCTGCTCAGTGATCTTCAGTGCTCTCTGGACAAAGGAAGTAAATGGACCTTGATCAGGGATGTTGGAGTTACAGTATATGTTGCATTACAGTAGCAACTCTCGATATAGCCACTTCCCATTTCACCCTCCTATCTTATCATGCAGAATGCATGGTTTGCTGTTTTAGTTTTGGATTATATATACACATAGCTCTCAAGATCTGAATTAAAGATCTTGAGGGCTTGTTTTGTGTGTGAGTGATTTGAAAAGCTGGTGTTTAGCCCTGAGGCATGGCTGCAGACTCATGTGACGCCATGGAGTTAAATAATAATAATAATAATATGCCATTTAGCAGACGCTTTTATCCAAAGCGACTTACAGTCATGCGTGCATACACACCTACAAGTATACAGCCATGTCTCAGATCTAGCAGGTATGCAGAGATGAGACATCTTGTGAACAATCTGTGAAAGAACCCCAGGAATATATGATCATGGTAGGGATGGATAGTCATTTCAGACTGGAGCACAGCTAAGCTGACAGCAGTAATAGCTGATGCTGCACCCTCCATAATTCTCCCTTGTGGCTCAACATGACCCTGAGAGTACCCTGTTGGGATAAAACAGCACTTAGATCATTAAAGATTTATGAAGCACCCTGGTCTTGACCTATACTGTGTCATGATTTCCTATACGCCTGGAGTCTTCTGGAACTTACTTGTTCTGAGTTGAAGTGTGGATCACGGATGTACTTCCTCAGTCCGTTGGAAAACTTACAAGCTTCGATGTAGCGTTGATAGGTGAGATTCTTTTGTCCTCCCATCAGAGAAGCTGAGTTTAGGGTGTATTCTATAGACAAAGACATAAGGAAAATGTAATAAGGAGGTGGGTATGCAGGTTTTCTGGTCTCCAGGATGCTTTCAATCTTAAACATTTTATAACCAATGTCAGTTAACCCAAATACTGTATCAATAAGCGCTAAATAAGATCATGAATTCATGTAATTTAATGTTTGGCACAATAGGGAGATTATACAGTGTCAGTCTTATATTGGGCCCATCTTAAAATGAAAAAAATAATGTTATTCAATTCCAACCTTTCATGATGTTGAGGATGAAGCTGAGGATAGCGCCTCCTGATGGGGGTGGGGGGAAGTGCATCTGGTACTCTCCTAGAGGAACGGTCCATGCATCTGTCACAGTCACTTTAAACGATTCCAGGTCCTTCATGGATAGTGTTCCATCTAAAATACAGTTACAAGTGTCGTGGTAATTATTCTAATCAAAAGGAGATACTTTTAGATTTCCTCAAAACAAATTAACTTTATTAATTACTGCAGTAATGGAGTTGGTCGGTAACCACCCTGGAGGTGATCACTGAGAACTCAGAAGAGCAGAACTGAGGTTACAGATCTTTATAGCAAAGACACATCCTTCTGAATACATGACAAACAGCAGATGTGTGGAATGGGTCAAAAGGTACATTGTGCTCTCATGCAACAGATATCAAGATTGCCAATTACTATTTAATGCTTGTCTGACCAATCGCAATCCACGCTTCAAGATTGTTTTGATCACGCGGACTGGGATATGTTCCGGGTAGCTTGCGAAAATAATTTAGACGAATACATTGAAACGGTGACTGAGTTTATCAGGAAGTGTATAGGAGATGTTGTGCCCACTGTGACTATTAAAACCTACCCTAACCAGAAACCGTGGATAGATGGCAGCATTCGCGCAAAACTGAAAGCGCGAACCACCCATTTAACCATGGCAAGGTGACTGGGAATATGGCAGAATACAAAGTGTAGCTACTCACTCCGCAAGGCAATTAAACTGGCAAAACATCAGTATAGAGACAAAGTGGAGTCGCAATTCAACGGCTCAGACACGAGACGTAAGTGCAGGGTCTACAGACAATTACGGACTACAAAAAGAAAACCATCCACGTAGCCGACACCGACGTCTCGATCCTGCCAACCTTCTTCGCCCGCTTTGAGGATAACGTAGTGCCACCGACGCGGCCCACTACCAGGGACTGTGGGCTCTCCTTCTCCGTAGCCTTCTTCTTCAATGAGGTTTAACGGCGGTTGGCATCCAATTTGTTGCATTACCGCCACCTACTAGACTGGAGTACAACTCCCTTTTCTTTTCCTTGAAAAATGAAATAAAACAAAGCAAAGAAATACCCTACCATCTAACACTACACTCACAAATTCAAAACTATTACTAATAATTAACCCAACCTTCTCCACTATTTAAATATACTCACTCCTACCTCATGCCCTCAACCTGAAATGATGGGACATCACCACTTAACACACCCTGTAACACTTCTGCTGTCAAGTCTGGCACACCCAAATATCTCTCTGCAGCTGCCACCACAACATCAATTTTCTTCGACTTACGTTCCATCCCTGCAGTACAATGAATAACCATTGCTATAAACGCTAAAAATCCAATCTTACTGAAACATATATCACTGTACTGGTATATCTCTCCTAATCTCACCACTCCCCCACCTTGACCCCTTTTCCTCTACTTTCTTCACTGCCTCTGCATATGACAATTTCTTCTCTATTACCCTGGAAACCTCAACCTGCTTCTCTCGCACTGGACATGTCTGATCCCCAGCCCCATGGCCACCCCATACAATTAGCACATACCACCACTTTCCCCACTGCTTCACACTCCTTTGTCTCATGCCCTTCTGCACACTTCTCAAAACTTGGAATCTCCCTCCTACATACTGCTGCCACATGCCCATACATTTGACACCTGTAACATCGTAATGTACTCGGCACATAAGCTCGCACAGGATAACTTATATATCCTAATTTCACTTTATCAGGCAAAGACTCAACTTCAAAACTCAAAAGAACAGACAATGACTTCTGTTTCCCCACTCTCGCCCCCCTGTTTGCGTCGCACCAAACGACGAGCATCACACACACCGGGAATCTTCTCCTTCAGTTGATCCACTTTTACATTTACTACTACCCCAGTAATCACTCCTTTCAATGGCACCCTTTTCTTGAGAGCAAAACAATTCACAATTCTTTCCCCCATTTGTTTAACTCTGAGCGCCTTCTCCCTCTGCCCAACAGAAACACAAACAATTATCCATTAGACCACTTCTGGTTACCCTCACCGATTCCACTATACCCAACGCTTTTTTCACCCATCTTGAATCCACAAATGGATCAGCCAAAAGGCAAGGATCCATTTTTTCCACAAACTTCACTCCTACTGTCACAGACTCATCTTTATCCTGACCCTCTGTGCAAGCCTCTCACCACACCTACCACCTCCGATACTTCACCCTCATTCACTTCCATTTCTCCTCCTGTCTTCAGCTCACTTTGCTTACATTTCCTACCACTCTTCTTTAACAAACCTACTCCCTTTTTCCCGCCATTTTTTCCCGACTCAAACTCAGTCTTCCTCCCGCTCTCTCTTAGACCTCCTCTGCCTCTCTTTTTCCCTCCATTCCTCCAAGTATACGTCTCCTTATGATAATACTGCATTTCTCCTAACCACCATCAGTTTCTTGCCTTCTCAAAGGACTCAATTTTTTCAATCATCAAGTTTGCAGACGACACAAGACAACAATGACGAGACAGCCTACAGGGAGGAGGTGAGGGCTCGGAGTGTGGTGCCAGAAAAATTACCTCTCACTCAACGTCAACAAAACAAAGGAGATGATCGTGGACTTCAGGAAACAGCAGAGGGTGCACCCACCTATCCACATCGACGGGACCGCAGTGGAGAAGGTGGAAAGCTTCAAGTTCCTTGACATACACATCACTGACAAACTGAAATGGTCCACCCACGCAGACAGTGTGGTGAAGAAGGCGCAACAGAGCCTCTTCAACCTCAGGAGGCTGAAGAAATTTGGCTTGGCACCTAAAACCCTCACAAACTTTTACAGATGCACAATTGAGAGCATCCTGCCTGGCTGTATCATGGCAACTGCATCGCCCGCAACCGCAGGGCTCTCCAGAGGGTGGTGCGGTCTGCCGAACGCATTACCGGGGGCAAACTACCCGCCCTCCAGGACACCTACAGCACCCGATGTCACAGGAAGGCCAAAAAGATCATCAAGGACATCAACCACCCGAGCCACTGCCTGTTCACCCCGCTATCATCCAGAAGGCGAGGTCAGTACAGGTGCATCAAAGCTGGGACAGAGAGAATGAAAAACAGCTTCTATCTCAAGGCCATCAGACTGTTAAATAGCCATCACTAGCACATTAGAGGCTGCTGCTGCCTATTGAAATCACCGGCCACTTTAAGAAATGGAACACTAGTCACTTTAATAATGTTGACATATCTTGCATTACTCATCTCATATGTATATACTGTATTCTATAATATCTTAGTCCATGCCGCTCTGTCATTGCTTGTCCATATATGTACATTTTCTTAAATTCCATTCCTTACTTAGATTTGTGTGTATTGGGTATATGTTGTGAAATTGTTAGATATTACTTGTTAGATATTACTGCACTGTCGGAGCTAGAAGCACAAGCATTTCGCTACACCCGCAATAACATCTGCTAAACACGTATAAGTGACAAATAAAAATGTGATATGTCTCTAGTTCATTTACTGCTTGTTTATACAGAAATAGTAATGTTACCTAGAACACTAGGTCATTCCCTCAAATGATTAAGTCCAGTGTTCATCTTCCATATAGGATAAATACACTGGAGATTGGGTCTCCCTGACACCGACAGACAGGCACACAGACACTAATCATGGAATGGAATGTTGTCTTATCACCAAGTCATCGCAAATCAACTGTCTGCGTTTAAATCTCAGAGGCTAATCTCAGTTCCACACAGACACAGGAGAGTTCTAAAAACCCTAGTATGTTGCCTCTCAGAAGAACAGACAGTGTGAATGTACTAATATAGGAATTCATTCTAATATAAAAGTAATGTGATTAACATAATGTTGTAATTCTACGACACAAGACAGAAAAAACATTAATTGAAATATATTGATGAGTTAATCAGCACTCCAAATGCCTATACATACCACAGGCACATTATAGTTTGGGTGTGATCAATGTGAATGCATTAGAGACTTACAGTTTCCTTGTAATTAAATATATTTGCTGTAAAGCAATGCCACAATGGGGGAGAGAGGGGATTATCAATAATGGAACTTGTTGTACCTGCTTCTTTTATGTCGGCGATTAAATCCTCTGCTACTTTTCCAGTGTAAAAAGCATCTGCCCCTTGGTTTGCAATGATCTCCAATGTGTCAGCCAATTTTTCAAACTTCACAGTGTCTCCAGCCTTCAGCAGGTTTCCATCCTTATCTAGAAACAACTGACTACAGGACAGCTCAAATGTTATTTTCTTGCAATGTGATGACAGAATGATGGCTTGACATTTGCTCTCTTGAAATAACTTTTCATGTTATACATCCACACATCTGGGTCTCAACATACTGTTATATTGTCTCACTCTTGGGTGGGCGTTATGAGTTGGATTCCTCCAGTCATTTAGGGTCAATGTGGTTCTTACCATAATGGCAAGGTCTTTAAGGTCAGGGTGGTTCTTACCGTAATGGTAGGGTCTCATCCCTGTCAATCAGTGGGATAAAGCGGCCCAGGACCTGGGGTACAGGGAAACCCTCTCTGGCCAGCTTGATGGTGGGATGGAAGAGGCTGGCCCACGGGAGTTTCCCAAACAACCTGTGGGCCTGTTCATAACCACGGATCTCTCCAGGGACACCAATCCATTGGCTGCCTGGAACCAGGGGTGGGGGTAATCAGACTTTTTACACACTTTTTTTCTCTCTCTCTATCTATCCGAAACGGTCTTCGGTCACAGTCACATATCTATCTCCATATCCCTGAGATTGCTATCACTTACTGATTGTAGCTTAGTTTGTTTGTCCGCTTTCATACACATAAGTAAGTCTGGTGTTTGCCTTTTAACAACGTTTCTGAACAGAAACTTTGAATGGAGTAAACATTGTTTAAGCCTTTCATGAGTTGATTTCCTTTAGGGATTTTGCTAAGCCATTCAATTTCGACTGGCATGGTAATACCTATAATCTTTTGCGGAAGATTTCTCTTTTTGTGTTTACAAATGAAGATGGACATTTTCAATAAAGTTAATGTTAATTTATAGTATGTATAACAACCTGATTAGTGGTATTAAAAACAAAGCCAACTGACTAGCTGTTCACTGTGTGTGCTCTTGGCTTACAGCACACGGCAACATGCTGCTTGAAGGTCCACGGGACCCTTGTCCATTTGTCCAGTTTAGTGCGTTTATAATCACATTTTATTGAAAAGGGGAGAAGTCAAAAGGAAGCCACAAAACCATCTGCCTCGCAGTGAGAGGAGAACCAGAAGCAGGCTGGCATTAGCAGAGCCTGTCAGAAGGGAGGCAGGCTTCAGACATGAAACAGGCCCATGGAAGAGGGTACCAGGGGCGTTTCACATGTCTGAACAGGAGGTCTGAACAGGAGGTCTGAACAGGAGTCTCGGGTCTGGAGAGGAAAGGCAACTTATGGAAATCAATCATGTATAAGACTGTACTGGCTCTCAATGTCATCATTAAATAAGGACTTTATACCAAGGAATGAAAATCCTTGCCTATAAACCAGCATAGTCGGCTTGTCGCTTGACAGACAGCTTTAATCAGTAAGATCAAGCTGCCCCAGGATTACTGGAGCTCCACAGAATTCCCCACCTTGATGCCAACAGGAAAGAAAGCTTGAACAACAAGAAAAACAGCTCCCATCGTAAAGCGGAAGGACATGCTTTTCAACTACAAAAACAAGTCAAGAAAGAAAAAGTTCATGTTCACTCATTCTCACTCCAAATACCTGTCATCATTTGGAAGGTGTGTGGGCATCCACTCAGTAGATCAGGATTAAACTCCTGAGGGACAGTCTCTCTTGAATTGATGATTTTAACCTTGCCTTTGAAATAAACAAATGTACATGACATGAAAAGTGTTTATCCCCCCTCTGTGACTTTAATATTTGGATGTCTGTGTGGTATCTCATAGTAGGGGGATGAAGTGTCCTTACCACTACTGTCCATCACCGTGAATATGGACCCCCCACCAATGCCCATACTTTGTGGGTTTATGACAGAGGTGCACAGTAAGGCAGCAATGGCTCCATCTACTGCCGATCCTCCTCTCTGCAGGATATCTCTGGATGGGGGTTTACATAGCAAGTAGTGAGCCTGGCTATCTGTCTGTCTCAATGATGTGGACTGTGCAATAATACTAAGCATCATTAGGCTATAATTCAATTAATCTGATAGCTTCAAACCCCACTGTAGATTTATAGCCTCAGTACAATCAGCTAAGTCCTGGATATATACTGTAGCTCTCAATGCATCTTCATTTCATTTCTTAAAGGTCAGACAATACATAGATACACAAAAAGGTATTTGCATGGCTGGAGTTGAATCAGCGATTCTAAAGTTGATAACTGCCTAGTTACAGGCATATTTACTATTCTCAACAATGGGGTACTATCTAATAAGCTACTGACCAGTGCAGATGAGTGTAAAAGGAGGCCACATTTTTCATTAAACTGGTAGGCAAGATAGGCAGTAAATCCTAACATTTGAATAACCAAAGTTAGTGATTAGGGTTAAAATGTGCACGCGCGTGACGTACGCACAGACATCTCCGCACGGGACAGCTCATTTTCTCGGCTATTTAACTTACAGTGTTGGAGAGTGAGGAACTGTCTGGACTTTAAGGATTGCACATTCCTAAAATGTGATTAAATCTAAATTGTACACTCTATACGACTGTACCATTTTTGTTTTTGGAAAACCTGACCATAATACGTTTATCAAATATATGAATACCAGTTATACCACCTCTACAATACTATAAGCCGATGTAGCCTACCGAGGAGTAAATGGATAAGCAGTAAGCACTTACCGTCCAATCTTTGAGCATGTTTCCGAGTCTGCGGCTACCGCTGCGCTTCTAAAGACCCCTTCCGTACAATCTTGCTTGGCGAATGCAATGCATAAGATAATTATCCCAATCGCGATCACTAGCGTAAAAGTTATACACGTGTATATTCTTGCTTTAGATCTGGCCATTACTTGTTTTTTAAGTCCACTCTTATAATTGCGGCGGCGTCCGAAACTTTTGTCACCATGTCCTTACACTGAACGCAGATGGACAGGCAAACTCCTCCTCTTTGACATCGTTCATAGGAATCACAGGAGAAGATGTTTAGGATAAACCTTGTAGGTTGTTCAGTCACACCCATGTCAGCAATGCTCTGGTCCAATGTAGGTAGTGTCATAGCATAATGCGTGGGCGGAGCCTATAGGAATTATGGAACAATGGCTCATGTTATCATACCTGGCGGCACTGGGCACCTCCTTGCAATGTTGGACAGTTAGGCTATACAATAACTGTCTTAACTATAGCCTAACTGGCCAACATTACCCGTAGGTATAGTTCAATGACAGTAGGGGAAAAAAAACTATAGGTTTATACTGCTAACCACCTTTGCACATCCTACCACCAGCTATTCCATTAAATCCAAACCCACAAGTATTAGCCCAGGGCCAGCCCTAGGTTTTTGGCGGCCCTAAGTGAGATTTAGTTGGGGTGCCCCCCCACCTCGTGGGCCAAACATTTTAGTGGTGGGGAGTAGAGAAAATGTTGCAGTTTTAAAGCAAGCTTTCTGCAATTCTACACATCTTGCCATGGGGCGGAGAGAAGTTTAACAATTTTATAAGAAATTTCATGCAATTCTACAAATTTGGCGATCGTGCAGATATTTTTTTGGGCAGTTTTACAGCCAATTTCCTGCAATTCTATCCATTTTGCCATGACTTATGCCATGTTAATGATATCTGAATGAGAGTGACTAATAAAATCAATGGGGGGCACCTGGAGTTCAGGGCTCCTGGGCACATGCCTTGTGTGCCCGGACGGTATTCGGTCATGATTACTAAAGTAATAATAAATAAACAATGAGTAAAGATAACTTGGCTATATACACGGGGTACCAGTACTTGAATTCCTCTATCTGCTCCACTACAACTGCTGATGCACAACCAAATTTCTAAATTGCACCTTGTGTATTCTACTAATTGAGACCCCGACTGAGTTCCTAAAAAAAGTGACCGCTTATGTTGCTTATACCCTGTATTAGCCTAATCCTCATTGCCATAGCCTAGAAATTGTACTACATTTTAATGCACAGTTATTACGTCATTTACCAGACGCTCTTATCCAGAGCGACTTACAAATGAAAGGCTAGAGAGGAAAAAAACAACCCATAGAGGTTAATCCAGACATAATGCATGTCTTATGGACACACAATCATTTAAGCATGACTCCTGAAACTAAAAACATAGGCCTACTACATGTAGGCTACTGTACCAATGTATCAACAATGTTAATAGAGCAGTTTACCCCAAAATTGAAGTTTGAGAGATATCCTTGGATTTCAGTGTCACAAAGTCCGTATATGGTGCAAAATTTGATAACCTGGATTGGCGCAAAACCGTAGTGGCATTTCTGCGCTTTGTGCTATTCAAAGCACAGGAAACATGCACATTTACAGCAGCAACTGGTAATCTGACAACCAACTAAATTTAATGAAAAATAGACTTTGAAAAGAATAAAGGATAGTTACATTATAATATTTGATGTTGCTCCTATTTCTGCCAACAGCAGCCAGCTACATTTTAACCTCGTCCCCAGGCTATTGTGCACAGCACAAAAACCTGGGATATCAACTACTTAAAGTTGGCCTTAGTTGGCTTGACCCATAGAGATAGATAGAGGACTGTCACAATCGTTGAGAGACGGGTCGGACCAAGGTGCAGCGTGAAAAGCGTACATGTTTATTAACTAAATAAACATTCAACAAAACAAGAAACAACGTAACGTGAAGTCCAAAGGGCTAATCACATACCAGCCTAACAGGAACAAGATCCCACAATACACAGTAGGCAATCTGCTACCTAAGTATGATCCCCAATCAGAGACAACGAGCGACAGCTGCCTCTGATTGGGAATCACACCCGGCCAGACATAGATATTCTATGTTCTAGTTTTCTATTTCTAACAGATTTCCACACCCTGACTCAACAAACTAGAGTTCTATAGGTCAGGGCGTGACCCCAAAGGTGCGGACTCCGGCCGCACAAACCTGACATGACAGGGGAGGGTCCGGGTGGGCTTCCCGCGTCGGTGGCGGCTCCGGGCGTGACGACCTCTCCCTCTCTGCCTCCCCGTTGCGCCCCTGGTCTGGTCTGGACCTCGGCACGACGCTTCCCCTCTCCTTCCTCCCACGATGCACCAAGCCCTGTCTGGACCCTGGTGTGGGAGACCCCGAACCTGGAGAGGGGCTGACGTCTGGGCCTGGATCGGCCATCCTCCCGCGATGCACCAAGCCCTGTCTGGACCCTGGTGTGGGAGGCCCCGACCCTGGAGAGGGGTTGACGTCTGGACCCGGAGTAGAGCCGCTGACCGGAGCTGAACTGGACACCGGTGGAGAGGACTGCTCTGGCTCCGGAGTGGAGCAGCTGACCAGAGCTGGATCAGGCACTGGTGGAGCAGATTGCTCTGGCTCCGGAGTGGAGCCGCTGACCGGAGCTGGACTGGACCCCGGTGGAGCGGAATGCTCTGACTCCGGAATGGAGCCGCTGACCGGAGCTGGACACCGGTGGAGCGGCCTGTTCTGACTCCAAAGTGGAGCAGCTGGCCGGTGCTGGACCAGGCACAGGTGGAATGGGCCGGGCCGGACTGGAGACACGCACCACTGGTCTGGTGCGAGGAGCAGGAACGGGCCGGGCCGGACTGGAGACACGCACCAGAGGTCTGGTGCGAGGAGCAGGAACGGGCCGGGCCGGACTGGGAACATGCACCACTGGTCTGGTGCGAGGAGCAGGCACGGGGCGCACCGGGATAGCGACACGCACCACTGGTTTGGTGCGGGGAGCAGGCACGGGTCGTACCGGACTGGGAACATGCACCACTAGCTTGGTGCGAGGAGCAGGCACGGACCTTACCGTACTCGGAGCACGCACTACTGGCTTGGTGCGAGAAACAGGCACGAGGCATTTTTTTATTTTTTTTTATTCGGGCTGCCTCCTCGGCCGGCGCTGGCGGTGTCGCCGTTGCTCCTCTCCTACCCGGGCTTCCTCTGTCTGTTCCCAAGGACGGCGATCCATCCCAGCCTGGATCTCCTCCCATGTCCAGGATGTCTGCTCCTGGCCACGTTGCTTGGTCCTTGTTTGGTGGGATCTTCTGTCACGATCGTTGAGAGACGGGTCGGACCAAGGTGCAGCATGAAAAGCGTACATGTTTATTAACTAAATAAACATACAACAAAACAAGAAACAACGTAACGTGAAGTCCAAAGGGCTAATCACATACCAGCCTAACAGGAACAAGATCCCACAATACACAGTAGGCAATAGGCTACCTAAGTATGATCCCCAATCAGAGACAACGAGCGACAGCTGCCTCTGATTGGGAATCATACCCGGCCAGACATAGAAATAGAAAACTAGAACATAAACATAAAATATCTAACAGATTTCCACACCCTGACTCAACAAACTAGAGTTCTATCGGTCAGGGCGTGACAAGGACTCATCTTTAGATCTGTGCCATTATAGCGTCTGTGACAGCTTGGGCAGTGCCATTGCGGCGACAGCCCATAGGAATCCCCACCTAGTTGACTACTTTAAAATGGTGGAAGAATAGATGTGGTAAAGGAGTCAATGGAAAGTCGTTTTTAACTGTAATGCAGTTGATTGGTAACAATGACATGAACATGTACAGTGGGGGAAAAAAGTATTTAGTCAGCCACCAATTGTGCAAGTTCTCCCACCTAAAAAGATGAGAGAGGCCTGTAATTTCCATCATGGGTACACGTCAACTATGACAGACAAAATGAGAAAAAAAAATCCAGAAAATCACATTGTAGGATTTTTTATGAATTTATTTGCAAATTATGGTGGAAAATAAGTATTTGGTCAATAACAAAAGTTTCTCAATACTTTGTTATATACCCTTTGTTGGCAATGACACAGGTCAAACGTTTTCTGTAAGTCTTCGCAAGGTTTTCACACACTGTTGCTGGTATTTTGGCCCATTCCTCCATGCAGATCTCCTCTAGAGCAGTGATGTTTTGGGGCTGTCGCTGGGCAACACAGACCTTCATCTCCTTCCAAAGATTTTCTATGGGGTTGAGATCTGGAGACTGGCTAGGCCACTCCAGGACCTTGAAATGCTTCTTACGAAGCCACTCCTTCGTTGCCTGGGCGGTGTGTTTGGGATCATTGTCATGCTGAAAGACCCAGCCACGTTTCATCTTCAATGCCCTTGCTCAAAATCTCACGATACATGGCCCCATTCATTCTTTCCTTTACACGGATCAGTCGTCCTGGTCCCTTTGCAGAAAAACAGCCCCAAAGCATGATGTTTCCACCCCCATGCTTCACAGTAGGTATGGTGTTCTTTGGATGCAACTCAGCATTCTTTGTCCTCCAAACACGACGAGTTTAGTTTTTACCAAAAAGTTATATTTTGCTTTCATCTGACCATATGACATTCTCCCAATCCTCTTCTGGATCATCCAAATGCACTCTAGCAAACTTCAGACGGGCCTGGACATGTACTGGCTTAAGCAGGCGGACACGTCTGGCACTGCAGGATTTGAGTCCCTGGCGGCGTAGTGTGTTACTGATGGTAGGCTTTGTTACTTTGGTCCCAGCTCTCTGCAGGTCATTCACTAGGTCCCCCCGTGTGGTTCTTGGATTTTTGCTCACCGTTCTTGTGATCATTTTGACCCCACGGGGTAAGATCTTGCGTGGAGCCCCAGATCGAGGGAGATTATCAGTGGTCTTGTATGTCTTCCATTTCCTAATAATTGCTCCCACAGTTGATTTCTTCAAACAAAGCTGCTTACCTTTTGCAGATTCAGTCTTCCCAGCCTGGTGCAGGTCTACAATTTTGTTTCTGGTGTCCTTTGACAGCTTTTTGGTCTTGGCCATAGTGGAGTTTGGAGTGTGACCGTTTGAGGTTGTGGACAGGTGTCTTTTATACTGATAACAAGTTCAAACAGGTGCCATTAATACAGGTAACGAGTGGAGGACAGAGGAGCCTCTTAAAGAAGAAGTTACAGGTCTGTGAGAGCCAGAAATCTTGCTTGTTTGTAGGTGACCAAATACTTATTTTCCACCATAATTTGCAAATAAATTCATTAAAAATCCTACAATGTGATTTTCTG